GCCTTTCCTCGCACCGACACTATTGACACCTAATAGTCTATATACTATTTATTATAAGTACTTTTCCACAAGAAATTTTCGGAATATATATTTTATTTGATGACTGATTTGATGCGAAAAATTGTTTTAATTAAACTAAGAAATATGATTGAAGTGTATTTTAATTGACATAAAAGTGTGGAAAACTTTTGATGAAGCTATTGGACTGAGTATTTAGAAACCGCACCATTAGACTAGTTGTAATGAAATGCATTTTTCTCAACACTTTAAGGCACTAGAAGTCAATCATAGACTTCATGTTAAGACTCTTCAGGAGTTTGCGAAGAGTTTGTAAACGTGTTTGCCTTGAGTTCAGTCAAAATCAATGCTATCTTAATATTGTATTGAAACTTTTTTCCCCATAATTACAATAACATTCATATTTTCTTTATCTCTATAAATAGTTTATATTGAATGCTATAAAACAATAAAATAAAAACTATTGTTTACTATTTTGTATGAATCAGTTATTTACAATAAAAAAGTTATATAAAAAACTTGTATAAAAAAGTTTAACATTAAAAATTGCCATGAAATGCCAAATGAAATCAGAAATCATTGTAATTATGATTTGGACGACTACTTGAAACTTTATATAATGTCTATAATAATCAAATAAAAAATACATATGGTATAAAAATATTGATTATAAAAACACTAAAAATGTTAAAACTATAGTAATTGTAGTTATAAATGCAAATTGTTCCTAAATGTGCAAGCTAATTCATAAATGTCAGTCAATATGAGACATACACTGCATTGCATTGCAACCAATTGTCAGTCTCGTAGACATCAAAGTATGCGATCTATTGCTCACAAAAAATCCCATTTATTTCGCATAAATGTCATTCAAAACAGACCCCAATTTGTGCCCTTTTGATATGCGATCCTATTATGCAATACGACTGCACTGTTTGTATACAAAAGATAGCATTTATTTTGTCTGCATTTTATGACTTTTTATTTACACCATAACTAACGCCAACATATCGGCACCTTTTTATGACACATCATATGCAGTGAACATAACTGAATAATCGACAGGAAAAGGTGCCAAACATGGGTGCGTGATGTCTATGCCATAGCTGTGTGGCAACGACTGCATCAGTGTTTGCGTGCATTTGTCACTCAATGGCCGACTCCTCGCAAACTCGTGTGTCGTGCGACCAGTGGGTCAGCTCGTCATCGATGGTCACCGACTCGTCCGACGTGTCCGATGGGCCCGACGGCCACACCAACTCCTTGGGCTCCATGTCGTCCACCCACGAGGGCTTCGTGTCGCCCTCACCGCCCCCGACCTCTCACTCGCCATCCATGACATCCATGACATCGATGGAGAGGTTAGAGACGGAGAACCGCGTCCTCAAGACCGAGATCGAGGCTCTGAAGCTAAGGATCAAGTCGTTGATGGAGGAGAACAAGTCGCTGAGGAGGGCGTCGGTGTCCATACAGGCGAAGGCCGAACAGGAGGAGGAGTTCATCAGTAATACGCTTCTGAAGCGCATCCAAGTGCTGAAGAAGGAGAAGGAGACGCTGGCCCTCAACTACGAACACGAAGAGGAGTGTCTCACCAACGACTTGAGCCGCAAACTCAACCAATTGAGGGCCGAAAAGGTATGGCATATGTGTTATGTGTGTGAATGAGTGTCAATGAGTGTCAACGCACTGGCGACTGGCCATCAGTGGTCATCGCCGACCACTCGATGCCAACATTGACACGTATGGTATGACTAGTGGTATATACTGTGGTTTGTGACCTACAGGTGCAGTCCGAGCGGACCCTCGAGCAGGAACAGGAGGCGTTCGTGAATAAGTTGATGCGAAAGATCGAGAAACTGGAGAACGAGACGCAACAGAAGCAGAAGAATTTGGAGCAATTGAGACGCGAAAAGGTTGAGCTCGAGAACGCTCTCGAACAGGAACAGGAGGCTCTCGTCAACAAACTCTGGAAACGCATGGATCAGCTCGAGAGCGACCACCGCTGACACATATACTTTTGGAGCAATTGAGACGCGAAAAGGTTGAGCTCGAGAACGCTCTCGAACAGGAACAGGAGGCTCTCGTCAACAAACTCTGGAAACGCATGGATCAGCTCGAGAGCGACCACCGCTGACACATATACCACACCCCACACCACACCAATCCCTACCCCACACTCCCCTTTGGCCTCACATTTACTGATTGTTTGTTTTTTGAGAGCAAGAGATTCAGATTTAATACCAAATCATATAATCATTTATTATCTCTAATCATATATTATAATATTTTATCTCAGATTTAAAATGTATTTCAAATAATAATAATAATAACAAAACAAAGTTTTGATTGTTTTTCAATAAAATTTCTTAAAATAAGATTTTAACTTAATTTTGATTTTCATATTTATTACCGTAATATACAGAAAATTAGTTGACAATTTGCCAATAAATACTATGAATGAGCATGTTTATAACAAATTGACTGATTGTATGTGAACTAGGTTAGTCACCCTTAAGGTTGTCTTGGTTTTAGTTAATTACTGAATTATCACTCATTTTATTCAATTCAATATTACTAGTAGTAATAAAAGCTTTTTGTATGGTAATAACATCTAAGAGGTTTATGAACTAGTTACTTTAAATTACGGATATACCCGTATTAAATTTATTATTATGGTATACGAAATACCAAACTATTTATAACTATAGAAAATGAATTTAGAATGAATATGAAGAAAATACAAAATTAATAATTTTATTATAATTTAATTCGTTTAAATATCAACACATTTAATGAGTTTAAGACACAACATATAATTAGCTGTCATTTTGTTAACAACTGATTACAGTAT